TTTTTCCTTGGAGCAACCCCGTGACGCTGCCGCAGCCGCCCCAACCGCTGGCACCCACTGCGTAAAACTCTCTGCAACCTCCCCCACACCCCCCCGCATCAGTGCAGGATGGGGCCCCTTGGGGCTGCTCACCCCGCTCCGCAGGGGGCTGGATCCTGGTTGGGATTCTCCAGGCTCCATCCATCGGCTTTGCTGGGAGCAGCATCCCCCTCCCCCAGTGCAGACCCCGTTTTCCCCCCGTTTTTCCCCCATTTTCTTTCATTTAATTCACGCAGAAGGGATGAAGTCGCTATCGGGTGGAGGAACCGGAGCAGGGAACGCTCGGGGCATCCCCCCCTCCCTCGCCCTTTTTTTTTTCCAGCTCATCTTTAATTAACGCCGGGCGGGAGCGATGATGAATCAGCCGCGGCCTCGTGCCCTTGTTTCCACCCGTGACACGGGGAAGGCAGGCACTCACCCCGGGGTTTGCCGGGACGGTGGATAGAGAAGGGGGAAACTCTGATGGCTGCTCCCCCCCCAAAAGAAAACTCTGCTGAGCTTTTTAAGCTGCATCCTTGGCAATTTCGGGGGGATCCGGTTGCCTCCGGGCCGGCTCGGCTGAGCCAGTTCAGCTCACCCACCCGGCGGAATTGTCCCCGCTTGCTGCCGAGGGGGGATTTTTCCGGGGACACAAACAGAAATGACCCCGGTCTCCCCCTTTCCCACGCGTTCCTAAGGCCCCGCAGGTTAACAGTGCCGGAGCTGCGTGTGCGTCCGAAATCCGCATCCCAAGAGGATTTGACCTGGCCCGGTGCTGGCTCTCACCCCCCCTTACCTGAGAGTTTTCTCCAAAAAGCATGGATTTGGGGGGGGTGGGGGTGAAGAGCATGGCTAACGCCAAGGCTGGCGATGTCCGAGGAGGCCCCGCTGGCTGGGACGCTGCCGGGCCACCCCTCCCCATCCCCATCCCTGTCCCCATTCCCGTCCCCGTCCCCTCATCCCGCCACCCCTGACCCCTCCGCTCGCTTTATCCCGCAGGTACCGGGGGCTGACGCTGGTGCTGACCTTCCTCTGCTACACCAGCTACCACCTCTCCCGAAAACCCATCAGCATCGTCAAGGTTCGCTCTGACCTCGCCCCAACCCTGGGGAGAGGGGACGTGGGGGTCCCCGAGCTCCCCGATTTCACCCCTTCTCGCCCCCCCCACAGAGCGAGCTGCACCCCAACTGCTCGGCCTTGGGCCCCAACCCCCTCAACAGCTCCAACAGCAGCACCTGGTGCAGCTGGGCACCCTTCGGTAAGGCTGAGCCCCCCGTCACCCCAAAACCTGCCCTCCAGGCAGCCGGGGTGGGCTCCCCACTGCCCCCGCGTCCCCCTG